TACATACATACACGCATACATGCATATACATTAGACACTCGTGTGCTTCGCACGCGCTCGGAGGAATGTCCTGGGTGCTCGGAGGTTTGGGCTGGGGGTAGTTATCTCCGACGGGCTAAGTCCATTGAGTGCTGGCCTGGCCCTATCATGCAGCACAACGCTCGTAACCGTGACATAACAACAAAATACGCAAGATGCAATAACAGGACTCTAATGCCATACCCACTGCGCGGCCCACCTTCCCGATTTTTGAACTCAAGATTCTGACAGCCCAGGCGGTGGTGGGGTGAGACGTGGGAGTCAGGCGCTGGCGGGGGGGCCTGCGACCTGAGGGGAGGGCCCTGGGCAGGGACAGGAATTTGAACCGCAAGAGGAACCCCACTTGTTTACAGACATGCATGCATACATTTTTGGCACTCGCACTCGACAGAGTCCGGCGAGAATCCCGGTAGACGACAGCAAAGCCAAGCAAGTCACGTTGGACTCTCAGTACCAAATGCGTACATACATACATACAGATATGTCTACATATATATATATATATAGATAGATATACACATATACATACACATTAACGGCATTTATCTGGCATGTCTCAAGTCTGCGCCAAGTTGCGGCATCTCCAGGCCCTCGCGCCGCAACAGGCGAGCCAGAGAGCCCTTCTGACCCCAGGTGCCGTGTTCCGACGGAGCCTGCTGGGTCTTTGCTTCGCAGGAAGGCAGGAACCAAAGGGTGCCTGTACTCCAACAGAGGCCGATCATCTACAAACGCAGAGGCAAGTGGAATAGCTTTTTGCATCTGAGTACCTTCTTGCTTAGCACTTGCAGAAATGACTCGTTCCACCCAACATCGCAGGCAAGACGCTGAAGAGGACGATGGCTTCTCATCAACCTCTCCAAGCTTGAAGAAGAGCTCCTCAGACTGCACATTCCAGATCTAGCAATCCGTCCCTGCATCCATCCATGTATGCACGCACACACACACACACACATACATACATGCATGCATGCATACATACGTACATACATGTGCAGATGTACGCATGCGTATGTCTGTCTGGCTCTGTATGCATGTATGAATACATGCATGTATGCATGTATGTATGTATGTATGTATGTCTGTATGTATGTCTGTCTGTATGTATGCTATGCAATAAAGGTACATATGCCTACCTACATATATCTATCGATCTATCTACCTATCTACCCACCTATCTATCCATATGCATTTACACACATACATACCCCCTCATACACATAATTGCACAGCGGTGATCTAGGTAGAAATGTGTGTGTGTGTGTGTATGTGTATATATACACATATGCATATGCTTGTAAGTATACTGTTTCTACATATACGGCAGATGTTCATGATAGTACATGTACATGCTGACATACATGTCTACACGCATTTTTACAGCAAGATTTGAGCACACATGCATCAACTCAAAGTGCCGTCGTTGCCAGATCTTTTTACTGCTCGGTCTTCATCACGGCGGTGTACGTTGGTTGAACAAGTTTTATCGTGTGCGAATGCAGCTGGGATGCCCTCCAGGCTATCACCTCATTCGGGTCGGTCTCGCAGATGATCCGGGTTTCCTCCACGTTGCCATTGCCGATGTGGGCCTCACCATCTCCCATTGAGGTGCTCCCTTCGATGTAGGATGCCTCCTGATCAACGGTCTTCGCGGCTGGGCTGTCGGTGTCCCGAGGGCTCTCGGCTTCTCGTGTGCTCTCGGCTTCTGCACTTTCAACTTCTCGCGCTTTGCTCAGAGGCTCCAGGACCTGGGACGCAAGCAACGACGACAGGGCTGCGCTTTCTGAGCAGCAGCCAAGCAGCCGTTGCCGTCACCTCCGGCTCCGGCTCCTTGGCACCTCCCCAGAATAATAAGAAGCCCACATGTGCACGGGACCCGAATCGGCAACGCGTCATGTGGTCGCTGATGTTGCGCAAGCAAAGAGCCTTCAGCCAGCTCTTTGGCAGGCTCCTGAATGGCCGAGCCCAAGCCCAATAGCCAGGCAGCATGTCCTGGAAAGCGGCATAGCCATGCGAGTTGGATCTGCCAAGGCGAATTGCTCACATAGCAGGTCCTGCGTCCTTACCTGTGACGCAGCACTCAAGTCATCTAAATCCAACTGCCCACTGAGCTGGACGCGGGCCTTTGCCGCCTCCCTTGCGGCGGCCCTTGCTGCGCCAGATTGGCCTGAGTCTCTCCGCGTGTAGGGGAGAGAAGCTTGTGGCAAGATGTTGCAAGGCTTCGCTTCCGGCCTCTCTTGCAAATCGCCGGCTGGCTCCCCTGGAACGACATGCGACGGAAGGGCGATGACAGCATGACGTTGCCTTCAACAGAATGTCGATGTAGGTGCTTGCCGCCTGGCATCTCAGCAGGCGGCGGAGGGCTCGGGCTCTCACCTGCCATCAAATGGGACAAAATGGGAGGAGCTAAGAGTGGTCGCTGCCCAGAACCCTCAGAGTTTGCTGACAGCACCTTGGATAGGGCTGGGCGCAGTCCTCAGTTGACAAGTCTAAGAGCTTCGGCTCCGCGACCAGTTCCTTCATGTTTCGCTTCCCAATGCTGTCGGGACTTGACACCGAGTCCTGGGCTTCACTGCCGCTCTGGATTGAAGATTCGGCTCCCTGCCTCAGTTGACAGGTCCAAACTCGCCAAGGCACCAAGGCAGATGCTTACAAACCACTGCCTCTTGATCCGTTCGAGTAGCTTTATAAAATCCGTCATTCTAGCCAAGTATTCATTATGACATCTGGGCGCTCGCATCATCTACGTCAACCTCCGGCTGCTCGTGGGCACCTGCGAAGCCGCACTGGAAACGTCATTCTGGAAGCAATGAAACAGAGCTCCAGGCAAAGTGTCGAGCTATCAGGAGACCTGGTACCGACGAGCAAAATAAGAATAGGGCCAGGTTTCGTCTCAGCCCACAAGGTGATGCCTGGTCGATGCATCGTCCAGGGCCGCCTTACGCAAGCATCGAGACGAAGAGAAGATTCGCTGCACCCGCCTTGCCCGCCTTTAGCTGCAAAGGGGTCTCTTGATCTCGCATTTCATCCCTGCCATGCTCTGAACCGAACCCCATCGGAAATGCAGCAGAACTGCTTGGGTGCCTCGTAGTGAGGACAGATGTGACCAAGGCCTTGCAAAAAAAAAGCGCCCATGGCCCATTTCTCGTGACTTCGGCAGATTGCAATCTGTTTCGGCCTTGCACTCGGCAGCTTCTAAGGGCTCTTGGTAGTCCTCATCCGCAGGGTCTGCGAAGGGATCCCAGTCCTGCCGCGCTATCCAAAAAGTCTTTCGTCAACGAAAGCCCCGTGTTCACAGTCGAAAGGCAAGCCTGCGACTGTGCGGTTCATCAACGAAGCGGCTCCTCCGCCATTCTCCTCGCGCGGCCTTCAGAACCCACCTGCAGTCTCACTGTGATCTCCCAAAGTTGCCGGCAATGGGTCGAAAGATCTAAAGGCATTTGCAAGCAATGCAAACGGTAGCAGCGGTGTACTGCAGCTCGCCATGCAGCGCGTGATTCAGGCCCTATTGACTAGATGAAGTTTAAGGAGACATCCCGATAATCCCGACACGCCATTTCCAGCTATAACTACATTTCCGCCGGACACGTTTTGCTGAAGAAGAACAGCGGCTTGTAATATTCAAGCTTATAAATGTCCAGTTGGTGCAGTGCGAACAGTCTCGAAACTTGCCCACAGTGGCCCCGTGATATTTGCGGAGCTCTGGCAAGGCCTTTCTTGTACCAGCTCTGATGCTTTTCTGGATGTCTCGCGATGTAGCCTGACTTCATCCACGAGGGTCTACCAGAGTCTACCTGCGTCTCTTCATCATGGGACCTCTTGTTGAGGATCTCCAGTGCTCGCAGACCACGACAGCATGCTCTGACGGATCTGACGGCGGGTAGAAGTCCAGGACTCGCGAGCGCTGCTCCCAGCGTTGCTGCCACTCAATACCCTCGGAGCTCCGTGTCGTTCAAGGATACAGCCACTGCTCTGCATTCCAAATGTAGCCTCGGACCGTGGTCACGACACCTGCAGTGAGCGGGTGCAGATCACGAGACGCGTGTGGCTCGCACTAGGCTATTGCCGCTGTTGTTGTTGTTGCTGCTGCTGTTGTTGTTGTTGTTGTTGTTGCTGCAGCAGTCGCTCTTGCTGTTACTGTTGCAGTCGCTGTTGCTGTCACTGTTGTTGTTGTTGCTGCTGTGGTTGTGGTTGTTGGTTGTTGGTTGTTGGTTGTTGTTTGTCGTTTGTCGTTTGTGATTTGTTGTTTGTTCCTTGTTGTTTCTTGCTTGTTGTTGATTGTTTATTGTTGGTTGTTGGTTGCATTATGTTGTTATTGCTGCCGCTGTTGTCGTTGCTGTGATTGGTGTTGTCGCTGTCGTGGTCGCTGCGGCTGGAGGAGATGGCGGTGGTGGTGGTGGTACCGCAAACAGCAGCCCGTAAGCAATCTGGCCATGCTTCCAACGACATGTTAGGGTGATTGTTGACCTTCTGGGGAATGCGATCCTGGTTTACACAGCATCTGCCCTTGTGATAGAAGTGTGGCGCAAGGCAGTGTGTGTGGTTGTACGACAGACGGGGGGGGTCCTGGATTACTGTATGGTCCTGTTTTCGTCTCTAGCATCTCAGAACTTTGTCTCCACCTGCTGCTGGAGACAATAGATTAACCCACTTACCAACCAAGCCTACCTACCAACCAACCGACCACCCACCCACCAACCAAGCTACCTACCTACGTCACGGGCACCCGCTACCATCACAACAACTACTGCTCCCTGCTTCTGCTGCTGCAGCTGCTACTGCCTGCTCAAAGGCGCGCTGTCGCAGGATCCCGGCTTTTCATGTTGCCGGGACACTAAGCCACGCCAGTCGCATCATGCCGGAGATATCTCCATGAGCCTGGTGCCGCTCTCGCGCCATGTCGAAGTAGAAGGCCGCCTGTCGTCCGGCCACCGGCATGTCTTGAGGTTTCGAAAAACACCCAACCGAGATGTGCTCTCCTTGCAAAGGCCTTGGGATATGCAGCCAGGTAGTAATGCAAAGCACCCAGGTGATGCAGCAACTCTGCTGACTCCAGGCTTTCGCTGGCATCAGCTTCACGAAGGACCTGACAGCATTTTGGTTTGACACAGTGACCCTGGCGTGACAGGGCTTAAAGCAACCCCGTGGTGTCCAAGTGCCTTCCAAGCTTGCTGCAGGGGGTATATGCCCTCTTCGATGCAACCTTCACCAAGCAGCGAGACAACCGCGATGCGATGCTCTTACCGTTGTTATCATTATATTCATTACTCTGATTATTATGGTTGTATTTGTGCCCTCTCTCTAGCATGCGCCTGCTTTCTCCAAAGCGAAGCTCATGCTTCGCAGATTCCGCAGTTTATGTGCCCAGGTGAGCTTCAAATTTCCCGAAGCCGTCCGATCCAGGATTTCGCTCGCCTCAAAAGGGATCAAGGGGATAGATGCATACTGGGGGCCTTTGCTACCTGGAAAAGGGCTTTGGCATATATTAAAGCAATAAAAACAATGAAGTGGCTTTCAATGCTGCCCGAATACCTGCCGATAAGTTGAAGTTTTTACAAAATTCTACAAAGACGTCCCCATTCAGGTTCTGTACTCGGGTCCTTTCCGAAACTCCCATATGCGATAGGCAGGGTCACCTGCCTTCTCAAAGTGTCTCTGGGAATCCTGTGTTCTTCGGAGTCCAGCTGCTGCGATGGCCATGTCGAACGACAGCGTGCAGGCCTGAGAAACACGAAGTAGACATCGTGAGGGTCTCCACAGAAGTGGGGAGTCTGAATCGGGAGGCTCCATACTGCTTGCCAGTTGTTTTTGATTTGCCTGCTCTGCTTTTGGCTTCAGTGTCTCCCATCCTTGAATCCGCCCATTTGGTTCATCCCGTGAAAAATTCGCCTGTCTGTTGGTGAGTTTTTTCGAGGCATGCGAAGCTTTAGCTGGCAGCATTTCGGCTGCCTCTCTCTGGATTGCATTTTTCCTCCAAGCAGCTCGGCTGAAAAAAGGCTCCACACAAACTGACGAGCTCGGCAGAAGCAGTTGCACATCTTGCGTGGATTTCGTGTGCGAGACTGTGAAGCTGAGTGACCGGCATCGAGTGTCCCTGTGGAGTTGTACTTCCTGATGGACTTAAGAAGACACAACAACATGAAGCGAGCTTCTCAAGCCAGGGCTCTCGAGTATCTCCCAAGCTTTGCTGTACTCCTGCAACGCCTCACCGAAGCGGCAGAGACTGGCCTTTGCTGGCATCTGAAAAGCAAAGGGTGGTGCTTATACGGTTTATACAGCTGTTGTTGTGGTTTACTACAAGGATTTTGTTGGCATTGTCGGGTCTGAGCTCTTGCTGGGTCTGGCACGTAGGTAGCGCCGTATTGCATGTAGAAGCCAGAAGCCAGATCTGGCGGGCTTCCGGCAACCTCCAACATCCGCTCAGCTGGTGCCAGGGTAGCCAAAGCCTGATTGTGGAGCTTCCATTAATCCCAAAATAAGCTTACTATATTACCATAGGGCCACTACTGTATAAGGTTGCTATTCGAGTCTATTCGAGGATTACAATGACTGTTGTCTTTGTCCGCTTTCCTGTGGTGTTGCAGTTGGGAATCAAAACGCAGGACAAGCGAGCCTTCTCATTCTTCTCGTGCGCGGTGTAGTTTGCAGCATGCTCCATGAGTAGTTCCACGCCCAAGGCGAATTTCAGCGGCACCTATGAAAATCGTGCTTGATCTGGCAGGCGTGCTTCACAAGCTCATGTAAACATGTATGGCTCCTTTTGGCACCTGGGCTAAGCATATGCCCCATCCTAAACCCTAAACCTTGTGGAACCAAACTTGTATTCTGTATTCCTTACATTTCCTCGCTATACAGTAAACCTTGCAAACTATCTGCTTTCCATTGCAGTTTTGCTTTCCTTTTTGCTTCTCACTTTCCACTGAGCAGCTGGCCTCTACGGCGGCCGGGCCTTGTGGCACAAATGATGTGGCCTGCGCGAAGCCAACGCG